TAAATAGTCTTTAAGACAAACTGATGGGGTTATATTGCAATAAGGCTTTATAAACACATTATAAACACTAATGCACTTCCTAATACACCCTCATGTCTAAAAATAGAAGTCCGACGTCAGAGAGGAAACGCAGGCTGGACGGTTCTGAAAACCACTGGACTGAAATGATTGTGAAGCCCTATGGATTTCCCCAACACACACACACACACACACACACACACACACACACACACACACACACACACAATTGTTTTTCTCTCTGTCTTCTCCCTGGAGGATGGAGAGTTGCAGGGTCAGAGCTGAAAATCTGCAAGCCACGGTTTCTAGAAATAGATTTTCCCATTGTCCCATTTAAAGAGATGGGGGGGGGGGTATGAAAGAATGAAAGATGGAGAGAAATGGGAGGGTGTGGCAGGAAAGAAACAAAAAAGAAACAATGAAAGAAAGGAATGTGGGCGTGTCTGAAAGAAAGAAAGAAAGAAAGAAAGAAAGAAAGAAAGAAAGAAAAAAAAAAAGAAAGAAAGAAAGAAAGAAAGAAAGAAAGAAAGAGAGAAGGAAAGTGAAAGAGAGGAAAGAAAGAAAGAAAGAAAGAAAAAAAAAAAAAAAAAAAAAAAAAATTGAAAAATTGGTGGTGGTGATAAGAAAGAAAGAAAGAAAGAAAAAAAAAAAACAGAAAGAGAAAGAAATTGGAGGTGCAGGTAACAGGGAAAAAAAAAAAAAAAAAAAAAAAAAAAAAAAAAAAAAAAAAAAAAGAAAGAAAGAAAGAAAGAAAGAAAGAAAGAAAGAAAGAAAGAAAGAAAGAAAGAAAGAAAGAAAGAAAGAAAGAAAAGAAAGAAAGAAAGAAAGAAAGAAAGACAGACAGAAATTGGAGGTGGTGGAGGAAAGAAAGAAAGAAAGAAAGAAGTAAAAAGGAAGGAATGATAGGCAGAAAAGAAAGAAATAAAGGAATCTTCTTGGTCTAAATTGAATTATCTTCTTGTAGGGAATCCTCTTTACCTGCTCTACTTTACTCCTCTTTACCTACAAAACTTTCCCTATATACTGATAACCCTGTTGTCCTCAGCACACTTAGGACTTGGTATCAATTTAGACAACATTTTAAATTTGTAGATGCATCCTCTTTGTGTCCTTTAGTGGACAACCATCTATTTCCTCCATCGTGTATGGACTCCTCATTTTCAGTGTGGTATGACAAGGGTATTAAACAAGTTAGGAAGTTGTATTCTGATGGTGTGTTTGATAGCTTTGCCAATTTGGCATCCACTTACGATCTCCCCTTGACACATTTCTTTCGGTACTTTCAAATACGGAACTTCGTTTCGAGATGTTTTCCTGATTTCCCTTCTGCTCCTCCTGACCTGTTTTCAAATAACCCGCATCAGAGAGGAATGATTTCTAAGATTTATGATTTTATTTTGACGCAAGGTAGTGGGTCGAGTAATAAAATTAGGAATGGGCGGGAAACGGAGTTAGGAGTACAGATAAGTGAGGAGTGTTGGGAACATGCTATAGGGAGGGTTCAGACTACCACTTCTTGTGCTCGTCTTGGACTTATACAGTTCAAAGTTTTAAATAGAGTCCATTTGTCCAAGTCGAGATTGTCTGTGATGTATCCGGACGTAGAGGACAAGTGTGATAAATGCCATGGCTCTCCCTGTCATCTTGGCCATATGTTTTTCTTCTGCCCTGAACTCCATGGTTTTTGGTCTGGCTTTTTTACCATCATGTCCACTATTCTCAGGGTAGATCTAAAGCCTTGTCCATTGATTGCGATATTTGGGATTCCTGAAGCTTCAATACCTTTGAGCTCGATACAAAAGGATGTTATTGCTTTCACATCCCTTATAGCAAGACGTCCCCTACTGTTACATTGAAGTCTGCTAAATACCCATCTATCTCCCAGTGGATAAAGGACGTGATGTTTTTTCTGAAACTCGAGAAAATACGATATACGATGAATGGTTGTACTGATAGGTTTTTTCATAAATGGCATCCCTTTATTGCATACTTAATGGAGTTACAGACACTACCCACTTAAAGGTTGGTGCCTGTTGTTGAATTTTATAATATCTCTATAACCAGCGACAGTTAATGGGTAGCCATGATGAGCCGGAGGGGTGGGTCGTGGGTTCAATTTTGTTTTTCTTTGTATAAAAAGAAAAAAAATCTGTGAATATTTACTGCTGTTGCTCATTTTGTTTGTATTTTTGGGAAATGGTGGGGAGGACAGAACAGAAAAGGCGATTTAGATAGGCTTAGCAGTTCAACAGAAATGTTCATCAGAAGGTTTAGCAAAAATTCTTTAGTAGACATGTAGAAATGTTCATCAGAAGTGTTCAGCAGAAATGTTCAATAAAAATGAAACATAAAAAAAAGAAAGAAAGGAAGATATCAGTGTGAAAATGTAGTGATTTCTCCGAGTACGTTAAGGCCGTGTCTCGCCTGTTTTGTATTTGCTCTTGATTAGTTTCTCTAATTAAACCCATATGATTCAAAGTCTCCTGCATGTTCATGTGCGGTTCTAAGCCTCGGTTCATGACCTTTCTTTTCTCTAGTTCATGCTGATGTCTAAACTTCCTGGTTTGGACCTACGCCACATTTCTGATGGATTATCTTTGTACAATGTAGTCAGATGGTATGATGACCCACGCTATAGACTTTCATGTTGATTGCTGGATTTGCCCGAATAAACTACACGCTCATCTTACACACGTGTGTCTTACTGCTGCTGCACGTCAACCAGCACACTTCTCTCAGGAAGGAGGTAGCGAATCAGCTCTCAGTGCTCGGTGCATTTCCTGCTCTCAGTTTCCTGGGTTGCACCGGGCAAAGATAGCATCGGGTTTCCAGCAGAAGGATTAATCATTCAGTGCTGTCTGCACTGGATGCACTTGGATGACCCTGAAGCCTGAAGAGAGTGAGGTTCCTCCTCAGAGAGTGAGGTTCATGTTTCACGGCCTTCCGGCAGAGCATGTCAATGGGCTGAAATCCTGGTTAGCCACAGACACCAAAAACTGGACAACATGGCAGAGTTTACAGAATCTTCATGCTGAAGACCACACCCAAACCCAATGCCACCAAGGTGGCCCTTTTAAACCACACCCAAACACGAGGCCAACAAGGTGACCAAGCCAAAGCTTGAGGCCGATGACGAAAAGGTCGATCCATTTCCTGACCTTGTGGATGACATCGTTGCACTACCTCCTGACTTGGTAGATGTCATTGTTGCTTTGCCTCCTGACTCTGGTGAGGATGTCACTGCTTCACGCCCTAACTCCACAGATGCCATCATCACTGACGCATCCTGTTCTGTGTCTACTCTGCTGCAGATGTCACCGCTCTTCTTTCTGACTTCACAGACGATGTCATCGCGTCGCTACCTGCGGACTTCATTGCCCTGCTGCCTAATGACTTGAGGACATTGACGGTGATGTTCTACCAGATGACATTGTTGTTCTGACACCTGACTCTGCTAGTGATTAGTTGGCATTCTGTTTCCTCAAGCACCCTGACTTCAGTTCTGACCAGCCGATGGGCTGGTTGCCAGAGACATTCTGACTGCCTGGCCTGTGTCTGCTTGCCAGTTTTGCAAAGCGGGTTGCTCCGCCTCTCCGCTCTGCAAAGCATAATCCTCCGCCTCCCGTCAATCCTTTTGGTCAATGCCAGCCTTGGGGCCTCAGGCAACTTGCATGGCAACCAATAGTATTTTCTCTCCTTCTGTCGAGCTACACATGATATGGAGATGCTAGAGATCCTGACCCTTTCTGCTGTCTGATCCATCCTGATGCCCTACATCTGGATGGAGCTCTCATCAACTGGAGGCTACATTCTGCCACTGAGGACGACCCCAAGCAGTGCAGCCTGGCGATCGCTGAGGACGGTACCACTTGAAGTAGCATGAAAATGGTTCTGGACCTCAATTCCACATGGACGTTCTCGCTGTGGTTGCTGGGACTACGGTTGCAGCGATGTCCTTGGGACTGTAATCACCACATACAGTTCTACACTCAGGTCTCCTTTAGTGAACAGTGGACGAGTTCAACACACAGACTTCATATAAACACCATAATGAACTTTCTTTTACTTTCACACGGTCCGTCGTTCCCCAGATGAGGACAGGTTCCCTTCTGAGTCCGGTTCCTCTCATGGTTTCTTCCTCATATCATCTCAGGGAGTTTGTCCTCACCACCGTCACCACCGGCTCTCTCAATAGGGATAAATTCACACACTTAAAATCTCCATCCTGTGTTCATATGTTTCTGTAAAGCTGCTTTGAGACGACGTCCGTCGTTAAAAGCGCCATACAAATAAAATTGAACTGAAATTGAATTGAATTGAACTGGTCACTGAAATCACGGCTCTGTGTAGTGTACATTACGTACGTAGAAAATGACTTAGTTACTCCACACCGCTGCTTTCCTGTTTCCTGTCTGCAGTGAGATGATGAAGTGAGCCGTAAACCAGTCGAGGCGACCCGACTCTGCTCACACATGTGTTCCTACATGACGTCTTACTCTACCTTATTAAGCGAACAGACAGCATGTCAGGCCTTCATTACATCCTTGAGTGAAAGTGTAGAGCAGTGTAGCACACACACACACACACACACACACACCTATACCCCCACAAATTCCTCTACATTAGCTGAAGCGTGTACAGTGCTCCATGCTGCATACTGAACAGCGTGATCTCAATTCTCTCACAAAATTCACACAGACACAATTCCAATACGGCCATTCCGACCGAGGCGTGGGCTGATTGGATTTTCCGAACGTTTAGAGCCAGCAGTCAAACACTATCTATCTCACTGGGATAGAGAACAGAGAAAAGTGAAGAGAGTCTACAGGTGAAGGCAAAAGTTTACACCCCCTATGGTGGTCAGGGGTTCAAGCCCCACCACCACCAAGCTGCCACTGTTGGGCCCTTGAGCGAGGCCCTTAACCCTCAGTGCTCCAGCGGTGCAGTATCATGTGCTTTGACCCTGAATTCCCAACAAATAGGGCGGTGGTAGCTCAGTGCTTAATGTGTTGGTCTAATGCTCAGAAGGTCATGAGCTCAAACCCCAGCACTGCCAAGCTGCCATTGTTTGGTCCTTGAGCAAGAAGGCCCTTAACCCTCAATCGCTCAGATATGAGATGAATGTAATTCGCTCTGGATAAGGAGCGAGATGTATATAAAATACCGTAGATGTGTTCAGTGGGGAAAAATATGAGCGAGTCCTGTCACGAGTGTTTATGTTCTACGGGTGTACAAACTTTTGCACTCAACCCTTAGGACAAAAAACCTTGTCATCAGAAGGCATCTTTCTTTCTTGCCGTACGAGTCCCTGTGAATGAGCTGTTGCTATAGAAACAATAACATATCAGAACAAGTGCATGAACATAATCCTTCTCTCATGTTATAAGCTGTACAGAATGGATTTTCAGCAATTCAGTCCAAAAGTGAGTTCAGGGATTAAGCTCCTGGTATTCAGATTCGGGTTACGCGGCTGCTTGAGTACATTTTCTTAGACGATTAAAATTCAAAGATTTTTTCTTGAGTAGGAGCGTCAGACCCGGGGTTTCCCTATACCGTCTGAATCGCCACCTTTATACCCGACACACAGGGATGGAAAATGTGGACCGAAGCAGGAAATAGCATGCGTCTCCTCCACGTTCCCTTTAAAGGAAGGATATTATTCACTAACGAACAGTGTCATAGTTATGGAGTTAATCCATTTCAACCTTGGATGGCGTTCCATAGTTTTCGGGAAACTGTCCGACAGTGGCGCTGGATTTAACGCTGCTCCTCGAACAAGAAGAATGTGCGAGGTCCGACTCAGGCGTAGCTGAGACACCGCTTTTTAGACGAACTCCCCCTACCCCCGCGCGTGCGTAACTCTCACGCTACAGTCTGCACTTCTATCTGAATACCAATGCATGAAATCCTCACACACTCACATTAACGAGGTCATGCTCTAAACACACGTTACTCCCTCACTGAGTTCACGCCGAGCCTGAACTCTGTGACCTTTTACCGGATGCAGATCTGCTCTTTAACGCAGCTGTACGGCTGTAAGAAAGGCCTCATTTGAATAAAGGAAAGCACTTTATATAGAAAATCCCCCCCTGGCTTTTGTCGTAAACACACACACACACACACACACACACACACACAGAGTTATTTAGGGTTAGGGTTAGGGTTAACACACTGCAATTCGGTTTCATTTCTGTGAGCATTTTCTTTTTTATAATAACGACTGGTATACAAAAGAAGTCATTATTAGAAGACAAATGTAAGAAATAAAAAATAATGGAGGTAATTAAAAGCGTCCTTAATTCAATTTGTAACATCATCTCATATTATCTTCCCCAAATATTTGTTTCAGTTTATTTCAGCTTTAAAAATGAATCTGTGTACTTCTCTTTTTCATCACAGTGAACCTTTTGGGAACGTATTATGTAAGTTACAATATTAATTTTGTTAATTTTATTTGCCCCATTTCATCCTTTATTTGACAGATTATTAAATCTAAACACACTCACGCCGCTGCTGGAACTGCTGTAGGTGTTATATTCTATTAATCGATTTTTAGTTCATCGTTCACTTAATGATTTTCGTTTTTTAAAACCATTTTCGATTGGTATAATTGCTACAATTATGAGGTTTTAGATTTAGATGAAATACAACATGCGAGTTGGAAAACACAGTGCCCTCCAATAAAAAAAAAAAAAAAAAAAAGAGTAAATGGGAAAAAAAAAACAGATAAAAAAAAAAATTTTTTTTTTGTATAAACAGTTTAAATTCAAAGACATTGAATTCTTTCTATCAAAAACATACCAAAATTATTGACACTCTTAAGGGACATTTCAAATAAATAAATAAATAAATACAAACAAAGCGTCATCCTTGAGAACGATCAACACTCGAGAAAATTGACGGGATTATTAGTATTTTTTTTGTAACGTTATCCTTTACTTTTGAAATTCTTTCATTCTGTCTCCGTTGTTTATTGTGCGCTTTACGCTGCACTAACATTGTGTACCAAAGAAAAAAAATAAAATCTATTACACAACCAGATCCAGACCGCCCGCGTATCCGCACGCCCACTCGGCGAGTTTGGCAGATTTACTGAACAGACGGAAAGAAAAAAAAATAATACATTCTCACCACTCAAATATCACGCATGTGAATATGAATATGTCTGTTTTAGCACAATCTTCGAGTCATAAAACTAACCTGTAGCTCGGACTTTAAAACTCCTCGTCGCGTAACCGTCAAAAATTATAAAAAAAAAAAAAAAGCAAGAACTTTTATCATTACATCGTTATCATCAAATCATTATTTGATCGTTTAAACCATAGCGCAAATCGAATCTCATATTATTTTCGTTCTTGGTCAGTGTGTCAGCCTGTAAGAGAACTACTTTGTCGTTTCCTTTTGAAAGAACCATTTCAAGAACCTTCTAGGGCGCTATACGTGCGATAAAAATCCTTTAAAAAAGAAATGTTACAGTTATGTAAAAGAATGGAAATAATCATTATTCGGTGTATTAACGGGCCACTGATCAGCACTGAAGATCCGTCTTCTCACTAAAATGGCACCGTACTAAAGAACAGTGAAGCAAAATGCCCTACTAATAGGTGTGTTTCATTACAGAATCCTCCGTAAGTACTGGAACAGCAAAGTCAAATCTATTCTCTTCGCTATACACTGAAGATATCTGGGTTTAAGGCAGGGGCATTCGGGGATGTAGCCTTGAAGATTTCCTCTTTAGCCCTCCACTTGGAGCGGTTTGTCCAAAAGAAGTAAGCGGAGGTGAGACCAATCAGACAGGGTTTACAGGAAATTATGTGGAAATACTCGCGTCTTATTGTCTGACAGTCTCTCGATTCTGCCAGACGCTAGCTCGCAGTCAGTTAGCCTGAGGGGGAAATGGATATACGCCGATTGAAACTGAAACACTGACATCCTCTCACTCTGAGCAGGAAAGCAAGGCGTGTGAATGTCTATATGAGTTCCGAGTTACACGAACATGATATGAGCAGAGCAGAAGGACAGATAACGAACTCTGCAGGGCACCGTAGCAGCTCAACCCATACAACGACAGCGTGGTTGCGTCCTGAGGGAGAGTCCAGGGAGGCGGATGCACATGCAGAACTTCTTTATTACAGAGCAGGAAACACTAGGGAACCAGGACGACCAGAAACTCGGAAAACTAGGGAGGGGACGACGACACTAAATATAAACAAACAGTGAGAAATGTAAGAAACGCAGAAGCAGAAACATAACCTGAGTTGACGCAGTGCTCCAGGAACTGAGGAGGAAAACCAGGGAACTTAAATAGAGCACGGATCAAGCAGGGGAAATAAACGCATGGGTGTGGTTAGGCAGGAAATGAGGGAGACAACAGAAGAAGAAGTTCTACAAGGATAGTCAGGTTGCCCCATAGTGGCCAAAGGTGGAACTGCCTCCGGGGCCTTGACAAGTTGTGCCTCATCTTGGGTAGTGACACCAAACTAGCCTAGTCTCGTGTTACATAGTCAAAAAGGTTGATATTTTATCCATCTGGTCGTCCTGAGAAGGCAAGTTTTATGTTAAATCCAACTTTTTGTTAAAATTAAAAAAAAATATATTTTTTTTTAAGCAATTAGACCTCACGTGCAAGAGATAAAATAATAATGCAAGGAAACAGTTTATTTAGAAGTACGTTTAAGAACATTTTTGATGGAGAAGAATCTGGGCTCAGTCCCGGACGCGTAACGGTAACGTGTAATGCCCCTGACGTTTCAGATCAAAAGATATAATATGAGACGACCGATCAGAATTTCAGCTCTCATTTCCCGTTATCTACATCTCGAGGTGTTCAACAGCTTAGATCACAGCACCTTTGGTGGCCGACGACAACATTTTCAGGCGAGCAAAAGTATAGGAACGGATCGTTTGAACATAAATACGAGGAAATAACACCCTAATGTCTGTCTGCTGTCACGGCAACGCCGGAATCCACCGGGAACTCTCCTTCCCTGAACACACCACGGCCTACAAACATGGCCGCCTCTGACTCTGTCACATGACTGTTACGTTTCCCTCGCTTGGAATGACTGCATCAAGCCGGCGAAATGAAATATACTCATATTGATTTCTATAGTTGACCCGGAACCAGCAAGTCATCAGATTTTCTCTTAATTCACGCATTTTGATGAAAGAATATCTGAGTCACGTGACGTACGTTACTATGGAAACGAATTTCCGAATCTGAAAACGTTTAAAGGAAAAACTAATAACTGAATCTCAAACACATCGGACCGTTTATTTTACACATGGAATAAATGATTAGGGTTTTATTTATTTATTTATTTATTTATTTATTTATTTATTTATGTATTTATGTATGTATTTATTTATTTATTTATTTATTTATTTAATTTCGTCTTTCATTTCTACATGGAAAGTTTTCTTGCAGGTCTTCAGAACCTCAGGTCTTCTTGAGAAATCGGTTTGATCAGCACTTTGGCCAAACCGGTCCGATGTCAGCTCAGATCAGACTCGGGAAAGACGTTAGCGAGACTTTCATTCGTCTCGCTTTGACGGTTTCGTTCGAGTAAACGATTTAACTTTGTAATTTACCTCGTTATGCTCGTGCGAAATTTAAAAGCCAATCTGTCCGCTGCTCCTGTCCCTGAATACAAATCCTTTTTTTCTTTTTCTTTTTATTCTTTTTCAGTCTTTACACACACAAGGGGGAAAAAAAGTGAAAAGAAATAAAGAGAGAGAAAAAAATGAAAACGAAAAAAAAATGAAAAATGAAAATGAAAAAAAATGAAACGTTTGGAAAATACGAAGCAAAAAAACCAAACCAAAACAAAAGAAAAACTGAAATTCAGCTGTTAAATGAGCTCCTTTGGGAGTGAAGAAGTAACAATATCATTAATGAGATGAGCAGTGCTCTAACACACACACACACACACAACACACACACACACACACACACACACACACACACACACAGCATTTACGTCAACTTAACACCACCGTGTCCACTGAGGAAACCAGAATAGCAGCAAAGACAAGAAAGCAAGAAATTCCTGCACA